CCCCCCCCCCCCCCTTCCCTTCACTACTCTGCCAAGCAGATCTCTGAATTGGCCAAAGTCTGCTCTCTTGAGGTCCAGGGTAGTGAACTTGTTGTGCTCCTTCCTCACTGCCCTAAGGATATTGAACTACATAATTTCACGGTCACTGCAGACAAGGCTGCCCTGGAGCTTCACACTCTCCACCAGCCCCAACTCCTTGTGGGCGGGAACAAGGTCCAGCATAGCACTGCTCCTCTGATAGAGAAGGAAATTATCATCATTCGTCCGTTTAGTGCAAACACCTGCGTATAATTACCTAATATCTGATCTGGTCTTAATGAATGAATGCTTCCTACATAAAATCTGATGTAATTATTAACACCTCTTCATATTCTGTTACGGAAAGTTCAGTGACTTGCAAAACAGGTAGCGAAGGTTGTATATATTTAGGGGGAGTGTAAAAACGGAACACTTCGTATGACTGCTTTATGTGTGTTCTTAGCTGGTAGAACTTAACATGATGATACACTGAAAGAAGATATTATGCAATAATAGCAATATTTTGAGGTATTCATGTTATTCATTAGTACATTCACACTGCAGGTAGTAATTTATATGTAAAGCCCACTAGCCAGTGCATTTTTACTGTAGCTGTAAATGAGACTGCTTATATTGCACCCCTCTGCACACAGTCATCGTAGGGCAGTCTAAAACATGTAATCCTCTATCCCTGTGAAAAATAGTACTGAAAGAAAGGCTAAGAATCAGGAGAAGGAGGAAATTATCTTGGTTTATATAGACATGGAGCACACATTCTGAAAAACTGGAGCCCCCCTACCAGTGCCTGGGCACCTGCACCTGATATGACATCTTTGATAACTGCCTTTCAAAACACATTCACACTCTGCCTTGAATCGTTTAACCATTTCAGTAATATAGTTTATGCTGTACTGTACTGCTTATATTTTTATTGTGGAAGGTTCACTATCCTTGCCAAATCTTTCCCTTATTTACTATTTAACGACAAAGGCATTCTGCATCTGTCTTTCTAAATGCATTTCCTTAACAGTGGCTTGGCACTCTATTCTATTTCTTTTGCCTGTCGTACTGTTGAGACCTTACAAATCCATTTATTCGGAACAGTAATCAGCCACTTGGCTCTGTGTTTGTCATAGGAAAGACATGGCAGCACAGTTCAGCACACAGGATGCTTTTCCCATCCTCCTCTTCCTGTCTCCAGGCTGGGCACCTGGGAGCCAGCCAAGGTCACCCCATCACAGTTGGCAATAGCTTTGTATTGTTGCTTTCTATAAACAGCAAAAATCTGCTCAAAGTTTTGCGCTTTCTTACCTGTTCTGTTGGCACTAAAGCTTTGCCCTTTCCTTTCTTCCTAAGACACGTATCTAAGAGCATTTCTGAAATTTGTGGTGATAACAAAGGGAAGAGCATCCGTGATCTCAAGCTGTTAAGGGAGGGGGGGCTATTGATACCGGAGAAAAACTGAAACTACAAATTAGAGTTGTTTACAGTGAAGGTTTATTTTTTTCAAACAAACTTCACAGCAAGCAGAAACCAAATATTTGATACAAATAGTACTCCAAAGTATCTCTGTGACAAGGCCCTTCTACTTCTTATGCCTGTGGATAAGCCTTTAAGAGGCACACTAGTGGTGGTGTTTCCACCTTGGAAGCCATTTTCTGTTTTCAGCTTCTGCCCTTAAAAATGTTATAAAAAATAGGAAACAGGTAAATGAGAGACAAGAAGCAAGACTTTAGTCTAAGGCCCTTTCAGCTGAGCAGAAGTCCGTATTTTCTAATGGATAACTGATGATGGAGGGAACACGAGTCATGCTGCTATGGTGAGTACCAACAAATATCAGTTGAGGCAATGTGTTTATCCTTTTCTTCTTCTAAACAAACTACCATGAGAGTGACAATGGCTGCAGAATTAATCCCGATCTTCTAAAACAAGTTTTTATTATCATATTATTTTTTTTCAATGTGTTTTTAACAACATGCCGAAAGAATTAGAGAACTTGAAGTGTCTTCTATGTTTTTTTTTCAGGTTGTTGTGACCTGAACAGAAAAAGCAAACACTTTTCTCTCTCTATTTTTCACTGCAAATTTGAGGATCTTCTTTGGTAAGATGAATATTATTTCACAGGGATTTTCTGTAAGCACAGAGTAAGTTGTAACTCATGAAAGACCATAAGACCAGAGAAAAATAGTTTTGGATTTTGTGATTCAGTTTGTCATTCCCATGTTCCTGTGACGCCTTCCTCTTTAAGGATGTCTGAGTTATTTCCCTGGTTTCACTAACCATCTTGCTTGAACAGTAATGTTGACATTTAGTTCTCCTTCACCTTGTTTTGGATTGCTTTTTTTGAAGTGATTATACTACAAATCTAAACAGACTGCAGGAGTATGCGCAGAAAGAATATAGATACTTCAGTGATTTCCTTGACGTGCTCTTGTTATGCTTCACTGAATTTAGTTGTTGCAAAGTTTTGGTTTCTAGCTTTCTTCATGAGATTATCACAGTTCTTTATAATTTTGGAGTTACTTGGAGCTAATGTCAAAACCCTTGATTGACCTAATTTTGTGAGGATAATAAAAGTCTGTGAGCAAAGACTTACAATCTGGGTATAGCTTTTTGATGACAGCATTTACATCAAAAATATTTATCTGCACAATCATAAATACATCAGTTTCTTATGTTATTATAGCTGCATATTTCATTATAAAATTTTCTGAAATAAGCAAGAACAGTATTTATTCCACACTACTGCTTGCCTCTCTTGGTAACTTTTGATTTCAGAAAAATGCCAGGTTTTCATTACTTCAGCCCCTTCAATCACTTTCTTTCTAGTACCTATTCACAGACACAAACACATTCAGTCATTCTGACTAGCAAAAATTATGTAGTGTGGAGTGCCACCAATTTGCTGTAACAAGGTTGAGAAGCAGCTATGAAAATAAACACAATGGAGCCAAGATTAAAAGAGAGCTTTGATATAAAATTTTATCTGGATTATCAATATAGTTCAAATTGTGCACTCACCCTCCATGCGTAGGTGGCTGCAGCTTTATGTTACTATGGCTGTATCTTAGATTCTGTACTGCTGCCCACCTTAACGACTTGCAGATAAAGTCAACAGCATCATCCAAGTCTCTACTAGGTTTTCTGTGGTTCCAGCACTACTTTAATTTTATCATCACAATTCTACTTAGAAGTTTGTTTGACAGACAAGGAACGTGGACCTGGTTAGGGTTTGGGGGAAAAGTGTGAATATTTATATGTCTTTCCCTATTGAAAAGGATGAGAGTGTACACGGTATACTTCTATATAAATGTAAGAGGGAGTATGCCAGCAGTTTGAGTGGTATAATTACTTCGAATTTGAAAAATCACTTTTCTGTCAAAATAAGTTTACATTTACTGTGTGTAAAATGGCCAAGTATCAGTTGGCCATCTTAATGTGAGATTACATAGAGTTAAGGAAATTTCTAAAAACTAATCAGCAGAACCTCTACTGGTTCATTACTACTTTTCTGACTCCAAGATCAACAATTCCTCTTTCCCTAGACCAAATCAAATAAGAATCTCTTAAGGGAAAATGTTAACCACTGAAATAATCGATTGCATTCTTGCCGATTTCAGTGTCATAAATAGATTTCACATTGGGATTTTTCTAATAACTTCTCTGTGTGCCTTCTATTGATTTTCATGGTTTACATTAATGATTTAACTGGGGTCTGAGGCTCAACTGCCTGACTGAATGAGGTGGGCAAACAAACAGGATGCAAAAAAATACTGTTAATTTTACAAGAACAATGTCATGATGTTGCTTTTAAATGTTAATGCTATTTTCAGGAGCTCAACAGCCCAAAGTATCTGTAAAGTCAGGCAATGTTCATTTAAACTGCTTTTGAAATAACTAAGGCATTTAAAATATTTAATAATAATTAGACTGAAATAATAATGAATTCACTAAAATGAGAGCAATTGTTATCAGCAGTGTACTGTAATTGCTGGAAAATTACAGTTTATGGAGTTTTGTATGGGGTTCTGTTTTGAAACTATCCAAACCTATAATTTATCTGCCTTATTAGTAAGAACATAATAATTTACGCCAAACAGTAGCAATATGTACTCTAGCAGACAACAATTTGTTTCTTTCTGAAGATTAAATATATATACATTTCCACACAGTGCAACTCTTTCATAATTGTATATTTTAAAGATTGTTTCATGAGTATGAACACAGTTTCATTCTCTTACACAACATAAAATGCATATATGTCTTTCACAAAGAAAGATTTTAGTGTACTAATTAATCAAGGAAGGAAAGCTTTCTGCTTCATAGAAATCTCTTTATGAACTAAAAAAAAAAAAAGTTCCTCACACATTCCTTGATTTATTCTGTAGTGCTTGTATTCCTTTCAAAATTGCGGGCATGAAATGAAGAGGCACTCCTAGGTCATACTGGAAAATTAGTCAACGTTTACTGTAACAGTTTGTCTTCTCCATAATTACTTCTAGCCTTTTAAAATCCCTTGTTAATTATTTTGCTTTAATTCTTTTGTTTGTTCCACATTTTGATTTCTTCTCACTTTGTGTTGCATACATACGATTAACCTATTTTTCTTGATAGTTGATGGATTCTTAATATAAAAGATATGAGGGCTTTTTAGAAAGATAAATCTTTGAACAATGGCATAGACTTACCTAAGACATGGAATACTATCCTTCATCGGTCCTTCACATGCTACGGTATTGGTACTGCCTGAAAGGCTCTTTAAAGAAGGAAGCTGTGAGGAGGCATCTGGAAATGGAGGAATCATTTCTGGTTCAGGAGTAATCATATCTTCTACTTCATACTGAAGTCGTACCTCTAATGACTTAAATAAATAAAAAGCTAAGTTATTATTTCATAAAGCAAGCTGCTGAAAGTTCTGTTACTTTCAAATAAATATCAGTAAGCCTTTTTTTTTTTTTTTTAATCCCCATTTATCATTATCATTTGCAGGCAAAGCATACTGTCATTTGTTATTTATACGGACTAACAGTAACATCAAATAGGAACAAGTCATCTACCCTACATTGATGGAGAAATACATTCTTCCAGTGCTGAGTTTGATGCAAGCTTTTCATTGTAAGGAAAGTCAACAATACAACTTTCCAGAATTAATTATGAAAAGAGAAGTTAATCACTCACCTCCAAACAAATATATTTTGGCATAAAAATCACCATTCTGGATAAATGTAATGAAAAATTTCTGCCTATTGTCTGTTACCATTTTCCTAAGCAAATTCATTGAAAGAATGATTGCTCTGCCTTCTTATTGCTAGTACAACAGAGTCTCTACAAGACAGGTTTTAGCCAGTATGCAGAAGTCTGACTGTGAGGGTAGTACTGATTAATGAACAAACTTCATTTGTCCATAGGTGGGAGTCAGGAAATGAGAGACAACAGCACAGAGAGTTTCATATTGCTTAGACTGAACATGAGTTAGGTGGATTCTAGAAAACAAAGTTCAAACCAAATACATTTTGTTTTCCTTCTGGCCTCTCTAGATAGGGAAAAAGGAGACCAACCAGGCCCAACCACCCTTCAATTCTTTCCACTAATTCAGGAAACCTTAACTGAAGGACTCCAAAACATGGGGGAAAGTGGACAGGGAGCTCAAATTTATATAAGTAATCATCTCAAAGAATCACAGTAAATATTGGGTAATTACTTCTACCTCACAAACTGTCCAAGGAGATCCCCATTTGGAAAAGAATGGAAACCAAGGTACAGCCCTCAAAGAGATAATGTCTTGGGATTACTAGCTGAATAGTAATTTTGGTGCTGGTACTTTGAAATTATCAGAAGCAATTGCATATGTAGACACTGCAAACTCCACCTTAGTGATCTCTCACTGAGACATCATCTGCACCAGAATGTAGATTAAGAAAATACCCGAGTTTTATGAGAATTGAGAGATAAAGATCAGTGCTGAAGGCTCCTATTTCTCAACCTTTGTGTCAAAACACGTAAGATTCCAGAAAGCAGTGATTCTGCTTAACCAGAAGAGAAAGGGTCTTTTATCAAACTTTCACTTTTGTTTTCTCCTTGTAAAATCCATGGATATTTTTGCCTGAATTGGCTAAAGAAGCTTATGGTCAACATTTGTCTTCAAAGACTAATGAATGAAATACTGAGTTCAGGAAATATAATCTCCTGGAAGTAATTGCTGCTAACTGAAACAATTTATAATGCTGTTTAATCTTCATGCAGGACTTGAGAAATTGTTGAAGAGTATGTTCTGCTGCTTGCCATGATCAGTGCATCATTCTTGTCTGAATATTTTTCTTTGTGTCTTCCTTTTTCTACTAAAATTAATGTTGTTAAGTTGTAGATATCACCCATTTGCTGAGAAAAGGAAAAATTTAGGCTAATAACATGACTGCAAATTATTTTTTTTTTTACATTTTGTTCCCTGTTTGGCTCGACCCTGGAATAGGTACAGACCTATTATACCGATTTATTTTGACACACAGTAAAGATCTTTTTGGAGGATCCCATCACTAGGCTTATTGATTCTCCCTTCTACATTCGAATTAGTGTATACTACAAGACTGACATAAACTTACAAGACCGATGTCAGGCAGTCAAACCCACATGGGGTGCTTAAAATGCTGGGATTTGTAGATGGAACTCAAGGTGAGTTCACACTGGCTGCTAGAAAAGCGAGGACACTAAATGCTAGAACTTGGGCTCACCTCAGGCAGCAAAGAAATCCTGAGACTGACCAGCTCAGTCTCAATATAGACAAAGTCAGACAGCCTAATGTCAGGTACATATTACAACAAAGACTCACATGTTTTTTTATTAAAAACACCCCCACCATTTAAGAGTGAAGACTTGAATGCCTGAGCAAAAACATGGAAACCAAGAGTTGAGGCCCATCTCAGGGATGCACAAAACCCAGGGGAACTCAACGACTATGCCACCAAGATTGGATAATATTAAAGCAACTCTTCAGAGAGCAATTCCTCATATAAATGCTTCCTAATTACAGATGAAATCTGAGAAAAAATTGCACATATTATAACACTTTAGGAAATACCAGTTCTGATGCAATTCAGCCACAAAAGTAGAAGACAGGAAAATAAAGAAATTAAATTCTAGGTAATAAAAGATAAGGTTCATTTGCTATGGAACAATATAAGAATACCAAAACACAGTGATTTTAGCAACATTATACATGAGCTGGTCACTAATGTGAAATTACTGTTCATTAGTTTTAAAACTTCCCTGACAGGATACGTTCAGATAGCTCGATAGTTGCCTCTGGGCAGGGGTGTGGGGAAATGAGAGGGAGACAACAGAACAGCTATAGGTAATGAATTTCCTCACCAGATGGCACATGGCTACAGGCCAAAAATGACATGTTTTTGCCAGGCTAGAACTACAGACTTTCTAAAGTACATTAAAATAGTGTGAAAAGGAAAATAACTGTAACCGGGGAAGTTCAAAAATGAAAGGGAAATTTTGGGTCAGCCCCTGGGATTTGTTGAGAGCTGGCAGATGCAAAGAAATACTTTCTGGCACGAGAGTATCCGCAGTTGCAAACTGTTCTCCGGCATCAGAGAATGGGCAGCCTGAAGGAGAGGCAGTCATGATTAGTTTGGCTTTGCCTTAAGAGCAGTCTCCTGTTAAACTTCTTAAGCTTAAGGAAGAATGTTTTACATTATAAATGCTGTTCAGCCACACTGGTAGCAGTGAGTGTGGCTCCTGTGCAAAAATACAAGGTTTAAACCTAAGTCAGACTTGCTGTACAACAATGGTAAGTACAAGGTGACTGCGGCGCAGTAAAAGAACATAACTGTATGATTCTACCTGAAATAGGGTGACTGCTGAAGACGTGAAGACGGAAAAAAGAGTATTTGAACAGGACAGAGCAACAGAAAGCTTAGGAAATTACCAAGTGTTTAGCCATAAATAAACTGGCATTTCATATAGTGTCCAGTTTTAGGGAAACAAAGTCAGCATAAGCCAGGGAAAAAAAAAAATTAAAAAAAAATCAACTCTTAATTTTGTTAAAGCCAGTGATAATTTTCAGTCCCTTTGTGGTACAAACACTATGAACACTTAAAGAGGTGAAATACTTGAGTTAAAAAGAGCATTATTGTGTCCATACACAATGTACATTATCTGATAAAAACATACAGCAGCCAGTATTTTTAGAGCAGGTAAGTACAACAGCAATTTACTGTATAATAAAGTCTTAAAAGCAAACTATGTCTGAAATCTGTACTGTACGTTACTATTAAAACAAAAAAGTGGAAGGTTGGCTCCCAAAACCTTAGGTTTTTGGCACTAACTTAAGTAGGATCAAGATTTCACTCAAAAGGATTAAAATGAATTGTTCCTAAATATAGAGCTTGATATTACTTTTATTCAAGGATATGACACAGCAAGGCAATTTGATTTGGAAATTATGTTCTTCTATAAGAGAGTAAAATTCTGAAGGACTTACTGCAATTTCAGTATTTACTTCATGTTTGCTGAACCTGTAAACAACCACATATGCAGAAACTCCTGCCACACAGAAGATACGGCTTTCAGGACACCAGTACATCATCTGAACAGCAAAAGGATCTTCTTCCACAATCTCAGCTGTTGCTTTTCCTTCTCCCACTTTCTGTTTTTCAAAGACCTTGGATGTTTTTAATTTGTACAACATCTGTAGAGTAACTGGAATATATTAAAACATACAAAAAATGCTGACATGAATCAGAGTTATAAAATTCCTTGCTTCCTATTTTCTTTTCAGTTGTGGCATAACAAAGAATCTTATGAAGGCCTAAGAGGAGAAGATGATGGGTATTATACAATACAGGCATTATCCTGGTACACAGTACTGGTAGGATATGTATTTAATACTTCCAAAATGGATATTTGTCTGTGAAATACTTCTTAGTACTTTCTGGGACAGGATGTCAAAGGTCTATGTTAACCACTATGTCTGCAATTACACTCAGTGTTCTAGAGAGGCTCTGATAATGTTGCTGTCTTCCTAATGAGATGTGAAACTAATTTCATTTGTCTGAGGTTAGCATCTCGCTAGGATGTAAAGACTGTACGGCACTTCAGGAGAAAACATTAGGAAATTATTCTGGTGGCCTGGGCAACACAAAGACTTTCTGGATGAACGGGAGTTCTAAAATATTTTGAGTTCTTGACTAATAAGTATATCTGTATTTATACCTGTATATAAAACCTTAATATCCAGAAGCCTGTGTCAAGATGACCTCCACTGCAGCGAATACTGGAGGTAAAGAGTGATTATAATTAACACCATTTTGTTTTACTGACATTTCTCCCTGGTTTTTAGTACTTTTATTTTTTTTTTTAATATGAATTCATCAGTGGCATTAATTAATAACTGCATAAGGTCAGAAAAAGTCAGTCAGGTCCAGCATGTATATACATAAAGTCAAAGGTGCGTATATACATAAAGTCAAAGCTGTTACATATGTTAGTGTAATTGTGGCAGATCAGTCTAGATAGTTTGTGCAACAAGAAAAAACCAAAGATGAAAAAACCTGTGTTTTAGTTGTGTAACTGGATGACGAGCACTGCAAAACTACAATTTCAATTTGCAGTGCAGACACATTCCAGGAGTTTTAGCGTATACATTTTTTTTATACTTTAAAAGGTTTTAGCATATAAAATGGTACCAAATTTTCACAAATTACAAGTACTTCTGTAATGAACACATAATTCTTCCTGCTTCTGTGGTGGTGGAAGAGGCCTCAGAATGCCCTTAGTCCCAGTGGGAAATCAAGAGTGGCACTTCAAACCAGACATCTTGGGTCCGTGCATACTAGGATTGGAAGAATTACAGAATCATAGGGCACAAGTACAAGGCAAGGATCTCTATGCTTCTGTGAATTACTAGGCACCATCTACACAAAGGCAAATAAGAAACAGCAACGGCATCTGAGCAAAGATACATCTGGAAAACTGCTTCAGTAGCTTAGCAATTCCCTGTCTCCCACAAATCTGTGCTTTCAGATACAAATTTACACAATTAAAATGTCTAAAAGCAAATTATTTTGTCCTTTCAAATACCACTAGGATATTGTGTTTGCCGTGAAGTCTCAAATGAAATTTGAACTCTATTAAAAAAGTTAAGACCTTGTAAATAAAACTTCGTAATAATTAAAACCTTGTATATAGAAAGTACAAAGTATGGTACCAGTAACACAGTACATGCCCTGAAAAGGGACTAAAATCTGATGCCTCTCTAAATAAAAGCAATTATCCTGGTTTTGTTCATATTAAAGTGCTCTCAAACTTCTGTCATGTTGACCTAATTTGATTTTTTTTTTTTTTTTGGTGTTCACCGTAACTTAAAAATGCTGGAAGATGCAAACTCTAATAAGCAGCATGTATCTGTTTTTCCTCCATTTTCAAATAGATAAATTATATTAAAGAAACAACTCATAGTTATGTTCAGTTGACATGTCTATGTAAAATTTCTTTCTGAAATAAGGCTTTGGAAATCCTAATTTTCTTCTTGTCCATCCTGATGAGTGAAAATGTTTGGTATTATGCGAAAGAGAACTACCTGACAAAGTCATCAGGTTTAGCTGACATTAAAATTTTGTAAACATTCCCCATATTTGGCTGGAAATGGTAGCAGTATTAATCATCACAATTCTGTGGCACAATGTGGAACTAGCAGGGAGTTTAAGTGTCACATACTCTGTTCTTGGCAGCCCGTACAGATTGGTTACTAGGGTCAAATTAAATCTCTCTATGCCCAACATCTCATATAGAAGTCTCTTCCACGCTCCCTTTTCTTTAAGAGACTGATGCCTCATAAAAGAGAGATTCTACCCAGACATCCCTGTACCACAGAAGAGACAGAATACAAGGCAGCTCTCCTGCAAATTTTGTGAAGCACGGTCATGTTATTTGAACCAGAATGTTTTAGTTTTCAACCAAAATGTATGTATATTTTTTATAAATATATTTTACTAATAAGTACCATATGTATTTTCTGTAAGGGAAAACGCTGGATTTTGGTATGTGCAGTTATAGCTAGAATATATGGAACAATTATTTTCTGAAGCATTTTCCTGCGAGGATGAATGGAAATGCTTCCCAATTATTTCCTCGAACTTGAGCCTGGACAAGAAAAGATTTAGGTCTTCTCCACCCTCAACAGATTAAACATGTATTGAGATACATTCTTGTATCTGAATGTTTTATTTTTACTTAGCTGTAAAAAAGAATATATTGTACTCAGAAGAGACATGACAACTGGAACTGAATATGAGATCTAACTGAGCCCCACTCTTTTTATACATGCAAGAAGATCATGCCCTAGGAAAATTTTTAGCAACACTTCATCCTTCACAGGTTTTGGTATGTTGTATCTGGAGTTTTTATTCCTCTTAAAGACTTTCACTCTTTTCTGGCTAATATATGTCATTAGCAGTGAGTTTTTCCCTAATATAATAAAAATTTGCTTAATTTCACCTCATTATTCCTAATAATATCATCCCAGGTATTACTCCTCATCCTGTTATATATGTATGTGTGTGTGTGTTTGTGATTTGTCAGCATTATATAAAAGTGAACTTTAGAAACTTACTGGCAGAAGCATCCCAAAACTTTACTGATCCATCTGCATGGCTTAAAAAAATATAAAAATTAAATGTGTTAAAACAAGATGCAATTCTAAAACATCTTTTACTTTCAGTGACTGATAAATATAAGCAGAAAAAAATGTATTTTGCTCATGTGGTAACTGTCCATACCTTACTGATAATATATAATGATATATACTGCCGATAAGAAAATATTTTGTTATGTTTGATTAGGTTAATAAAACACTTTTTCACGTATTTCCTACACAGAACTAAGACCCAAATGCATTTTAAGATTGCTAAGCAAGCAATCAATTCCCATACTAATGACAAGTTTCAGTTCCAGCACTTCTGGCTTTGCAGTGAGCCAGCATGAAGCCTATGCACTCTAAAAATGCCATGTATGATGAACTTTGAAAGGACAGATGGTAACTTAATTTTCCTTAGTACCTTACAGCTGTGTTCTTTTTATTAATATAAAATCATCCCTGAAGTAAAGCTGGAGCAAGGAGACATTTCTGTTTAAAATACGAATAATCCTTCGTCATCTTTTTTGTATTATTGCACATAACATAATCTTATTTCTTAAAACAGGTGTTAAGTATCATTGAGAGTAATAATTTATCAAATATATTGCGATCATCGTCATGGCTGAGACCTGAGGAAAACACAGAGTGTACCACAGCTGAATAGCTTGTTTTATGTCATGGCCCCTTGAAAATCCATCAGGCATTGCTTATGGGGCTTCTACTGCAATCTGAGCCTTTCTATGCCTTTTGGCTATGGGGCTGTCTCTCCTCTCACAAGGTGAAATTCACCCCAGTGAACCACACCCTCACTAATGCTGGGGTATGAAAATGAATTCCCAAACTGTCCCCAGCAGGCCAAAGGACGACAGCCAAAGAAAAGCAGCTGCTCGCCTTTTTAAAGCTATTCTCTATGCCCTTCAAAGGCCAAAATACTCTCTTGCAATGGATTCTCTTTTCCAAAGATCCTACCTTTATAAGTAATGTAGACTTGCTGTGTAACACTGGGGCCTCAAAAGGTAATTCTTAATGGTAGTTCATCCCCAAGTACTGTTCTATTTTCTACAGCAAATGGGAATTTCTGTGGTGACTCTGCACAAGGGAAAAAAACCTATGTACCTCATGTGAAGAGGCCAGGGTAGGCATACTCACTCTATAAAGGGTCAGCTCGTCTCTATAGCTAACCCACAATGAAAAGCTCTAGACGCTAACATTTTTAAAGTACCAATCCTCGGTTTCATTCTCACCCTGTAATAATGATTTCGGGATATGTCTGAGCTCCAAGGTTCCATGCTCCACCGCTGATAGGCCACTCCTAAACAAACAACAAGAGTACAGAGATTACAACTAATTCTCATAAATCTGGCTTGGCTGTTTTTTAAACTCTGGAGTAGACCACATCTTCCTCCAAAAAGCAAGGCAACTCATAGAAGTAACAAAAATGCATAGCACTCAAGCTTATTAACATTTTTATATTATCAATGAAGGCTTTTAAAACTTAATGATATTTTTAGGTTACCAATTCAAGTTCTATGTTTTTAAAATATTTCTGCACAGCTAACACTCAACAGTCCAAAATAGGAACTAAAGGAAAGAGTAACAAACAGCATTGCTATGCTTTTCAGATTGCTTGACTCTTGGGGTTTCTATAGGACACCAAATAGACTGAGAATCTATTATGAGGATGAAGTCTACTGAAGAAGCTGGCCCAGAAACAAATATCAGAGCGTGATGCCACGAGATATGAGATAAGGGACTACATATTTTACAGCACATCTGAAATTATCATCTCTTCTTCTGCCTTTTGTTTACTAGTGGCAAGACTCCCATTCTCTTCTTTGGTCTAGGCTGGTAGAGCAAAATGCTAGTCCGTGCCTAAAGTTTGACACGTATGGATACAGGATGTGGAAGATGACGTATGTACAGAGTGGGTGAAAATGTGTGCAGAGTATGAGTGGGTGGAAAAAAGCTGGGAGCACAAACCGGTTATGTGAATACATGGAGTGGATGCTTGTGAGTACAGAAATGGGTGGGTGGCAAATGAGCGGCTACCTACATTCCAAGTGTATATTGAATGTGCACAAACAAAGCAAGGGGACAAGAGAGTGTGGAATGAATACAGGTAGGTGGTGAAAAGTTTGGTAAACTATGTATATGAGGTAAGGGCAGATAAACAGAAAAATTCAAGTAAGAGAAAAAAAAATATATATTTTCTGAAGTACTTTGTTGAATCAAAAGCCAAAAGTAGTAGGCCCCAGTTTCTGAGTTCATGGAAAACAAGGCAGCTCCAAGGAGAATACTTCTGTTAATATGAATAGAAAACTGATGATGCCTGATTTATTTACCTAATATGTTTTCTAATTAATTTATTGTGATGGAGTAGTTCTAGGCAAAATATAAAGCAGATTAATGCTTGAAATTTATAAAATAATTGCATTTCCTCTTTTTATTTCTGCAGCTTGTCCTATTTCTTCGGTAACCCAGTACAATAATTATGAATGTTCCTGTTTAACAAAAAATCTCACAGACATGCTGTCAACCTTCAACTTTCACTTGAAGCTCTTCTGCTAACTTCTTTCAGTTATAATGTTTTCACTTTTTTCTTTGATAGAGATAACTTATCCATACAAATTTGAACTGTAGACTGATGGCTTTCCTTTAACTCAGTCTCACCTGGCATAACTCCATCAGTTTAATGATTAGGTCCTATAAAATGGTCATTAATGGTTGTCCTTAGGTGACGATGTTTCTGAGGGACAAATACGAGGCTGTAAGCATGCTGCTAAGCTGCTAGTTAGACTAACTTGAAAGTGATTATTAAAGAAGTAAAATGAAAATAATTTGGTAAGATGTTACAAAAACATAGTTTGTACACCTATTGTGTTGTAAAAAATATTGGTTTTGTTTACCTTATTGCTGTATCCTTGCTTTTTGTGTTTTGCTCCTACAGAATAGAGTACAGGAATCAAATCTGGAGGACAGTCCGCAAAATATTCTGTGCAGGTGACAGGTGACTCATGAATGTCAATAGGATATGGATTTTCAAAGATTGGAAAACTAGTTAAGGAAGACAATTTATTAGAAGCACTGTGACACACTGAGCCATAGAAGAAAACACATTCTTATCTTAAAGTGTATAACAGAATCTAAGTAAAGTCATTACTAATAAAGTACATTTTCCCTTATTTATTCAAACATTTGTATTATTTTTAATGTCAATAATAATGCGTAGTTACTCAAAGAAAGACATAAAAATTCCACTGCTGTGACAAGAAGCCTCTTGCAATGTAAGTACCCATTCATGTGAATAATTCCTAAGGCTAACAGGAATACTTGTGTGAATGAGGATTAGGAACTGATTTTTCCCAACATGTCAAAATCTTATTTATACAGGTGACACATTTTCTATCAGCTTCAGGTTCATGGATATGATACATACTATGACCTAAGAACTACTTATACAACTGTGGATTTTATATCAAGCAGCTTAGCTTATTGGGTTGGTAGAGTACTGATTCTACAACGAACAATTGCAATAACAGATGAAGTAGATCTCAGTTTATTTCTCACTTCCATCAGTTTGGACAGTCTGATAAGAAGCACGGCCTCGCTTCTGGCATATTACACAATGTTATTCACAATTCAAAAACGTAAGAAATTTGGTTCTGATTTCAGTTATATTAATTTTATATTGCTGAGATGATTTGAATTATTCTTGCAAGTAAGGGAGATAAGAATATGATTCATTTAAAGCGTTTCAAGACATTAAGGGCAAAATCTGTTCCTAGTTATACCAGTGTGAATGTGGATGTACATTATTGGTGGTGTTGGAGGCAGAACAAAATAAAAAAGGATTGTCTTCTGCACTACATGATGTATACTTCCTCTTTGATGTGAACATTGATTCTGATGTGAAAGAACTATTTGTCATTTAAACCAGCAACCAGATCATGAAATAATCCTGTAGATCCACTATAAATCAATGCCATTATTTATTAAGATACTTAAAGTAAATAGTTAAGTGGAAGTCCCTGTGGAGTCTAGCGAAGTTTGGCATGCATATAAGTAGTAGTTCAATCTGGTTTCCAAAGCACCCATTCAGGTCATAATTCAGCATGTGACCAAGTGTTACTTCAATGTTGAGTAAAAGTTTGAGGGCTATGCTGAAGGGACTCCAAACTTAGAGTTATTCCCAAACTTAAGAGCAAATATTATCATAAATTCCCGTTGATTAGCCAATCTTAGGTCTTAAGGTGGAGATAAACATATAGAGTGAATTATTACCAAGAGTGAATGATCTTGGATAGTAAAATGACATTACATGATAACATCTGGATTTTTATCATCACTTGCTGCGCAGTTAAGATACACAAATAACTTAATCGAAGACTTCATACTTACTTGCTTTGTGTCAGGTCAACAACAATGAGATCTTTTTCCAAAAGCACAACTACAGCATAGGGTTCTTGAAATTCTATAAGCGAGGAATCAAATATAAAAGACATGGAGTTCTCCCATTCATTTTAAACAAGCAAGTCGTATTTATGATCTCTAAACATTAACAGTATATTAAACAAACGTTTTAAGGTACAAACCCTAGACATATCCACAAACTAGACATATCTGCAAAGTAGGGCCAGATTAGGGCTAGAGAGGAACTGAGAAATTAATTTTGGGCAGTACTGCTGATCAACATCCAGAGCAAAAATAGAATCGGCATATTCTAGCATGCCAGCGTGATAGTAGATTGAAAGTAAAGAAATAGAATAAGTTGTGTGTAACACTGCATTGCTGAATCCAGTTATTGTACAGAAAATGTATTTGTGCTGCTCAGCAGCAATGCTTCTACTGTGTACAACTGTTCCTCAAAACCAGACTGTGAACAGGTGGTCCGGTCTGCTTGATGGTACACTATGCCCTCATTCCCAAGGTGATTCCAAAGGAATATTCCAAAGGAATCCTGTAAATATGCTGTGTTCAATTCAGATACTGACACATTCCTTCTTCCCAAACACTCTTTAGTATATTATGTTGTCTGTTGGTTGTTTTTTTTTTAATTTAATGCTTTTGTCATTTATCAAAACCAAACAATTAAAATGACAAATAAATGCTTCCCTTGATGCCTAGGGTGCATTAGTTTACACAGAAGTTATTTTTAAAAATATAAATGTGAAATTACAACTCTCTTTTCAGCTGCACTAAACCATTCCAGCAATGTGCAAGCTCAGAGTATGCTTTTCACGTGGCTGATGCCAAAAAGCTGAGTAAATCAAGAGCTTGATAAATCAAGATTTACCTTCGTTTCAGGCCAGCTACAAATGCACATTATTTGTGGCCCGTTTTTATACAAGACTATGAATAACATAGGTTAAACTAAAATTTTTAAATATTAGTGTGTGAGCAGAGAAAGGGGTTACAAAATCTTAGTACTTGGAAGTGTCACAGTATCTGACACAGTTAAACGAAGGCCCAAACTAACTGAAAATTAAATTTTTGCATAACATTGAAACAAATACACACTTTACTAAATGTTTTTTAATGTGGATTTAATGCAGCTACGTATATAAGGTTTATTTTACTTTTCTGCTTGAGGGCTTAAAATACTAAACTTAGTTTCTTTTTGATTTACAGCTTTTCTTAATTTACTTTCCGGAGTCTTCTGTGAATGTACTTCAGAATTTGGCAGCCCCACAATATGCAGCAAAACACTTCTAACAGTTCAATTCAGGCTGAAGAGTAAGAACTTTTTTTTGCAGAGAAGAGATAGTTTAATCTTCAATAATTTAGCAATCTGTAGATTTTCAGCCTCATAGAAAATGTCAGAAATATAAGTACACATATTTGATTAATGGCAATATTTCCTCTCACTAGCCCACGTGTTTCAAGCTTATATCTGGAGATTTATGCGTGCTTTATTGTGCACTCATTACTTGCTTCCTATATTGAGAATGCAAACAAGTTGTAGTTACTTTCAGTGATGTGGTTTTCCTTGAGATGGAGACAACTGTGAGAATGGAAGTCCTTGGAATGGAATTAAGGTATGAGAGAAGGTAACTTAATTTATATTTTCTATAACTGTGTTTTGCTTAATAAACTCACCATTTGGATATGGGGTTTCACAAAGAGTTAAAAAATCAACTATAGGGTGATCCATTTCAAGAACCGTGATTGCTTTCCCATGCATGATTGTTAAACTTGGTCTTCGACAAGCCTTATCATATGACAATCCACCAGAAAATATCACAAATGGCTCACTGTATTAAAAAAAACCATAACAGTAATTATAAGTTTACCTACTACATACCAGTTTACATTATAGGTTTAGTACCTTTAAATAATAATAAATAGCTTCGCAAAAAGAAAGCGGGGAAAGATTCTAAAAGGACTTTTAACTGAGGAATGTAACACTGAGTTAATTACAGAATTAAAAACATACCTGTTTTTACAGGTCTTGTACTCTACTTTAAGAATTGGTTTGCAAGATTCAGGCTTTTTTCCATCTCTCTGAATTTTTCCTAGGGAAAGAAAGAAAGAAAGATGAAAACTGTATTAAAACACGATAACAGAACTATCAAACCGAAAGACAAGTATTGAAGCAACTGTATAAGCAATAAGAGAATGGAACTTTAAAGCTACAGAAGATGATACTAGCTCCTATTTCTGTAAAATATTCATTTGTCTAAATTAATTACATTTATTATGGCTTTATGTTTTTACTGTCACATACATCTAAAGAACCACAGATCACACTTCAAAGACATCTAAAACCCATGCAGATTACTGAGAAGGATGATACTTACCTAATAATTAATGATTTTGACCAAAAGTATACTATTTTTTCCAAACATATTATGACCATAAACAGCTTATTTTTTCCCTAAGTCATTCTTAGAATGACTCAATTCACTTGTTGCCTAAATGTTACATGCTCTGACGTGTAACTATTTGAGTGTTAAAATGAAATGAAGTGAGCAACTGAAATTCATGGGTTCTTAGTTCATTATGGCTCAGTACTTACTTCCAGTTAGAGAAAATTCACTTGTAAATGAAAAAAAAAACCAAAACCAAACCAATTTTGGGTTTGTTACTTTGGAAAATGTATTCTTGCTTTAAACCACAATCTAATTGGAGGATACAGTGTAGATAGAGCCAGCCTGTTCTCAGAGGTGCACAGTGACATGGTGGGAGGCAAAGAACTCAAGTTGTGACTTGGGAAATTCTGGTTAGATATTAGCAAAAAAAAATTGTACCACGAGGGTCATTAAATACTAGAAGATGTTTCCCAGAGAGGTTGTGCAATTTGTTGGAAGTGATCAAGTGTCCAGTACCAACTGGGCACTGCCCTGAGCTAACTTTTCTAATCAGGCCTGGTTTGAGCTGGGAGATAGACTAGATGACCTCTGAGAGGTCTCTTCTGACATAAAGTACAATTCTATGACTAAAAATGATAAACCAAAAGAAACCAGGGAGTTTAAGAAAATGCTTAAACTTTGCTGGGCTGCACAGATCTTGTTTTTCCCTTCTTCCTCCCTCTCCATCCAGTCGGGCCTCTTGGTAATGTAATGATTTGCAATAGAGTCAATACCAGTTTACCTCATTTATAGGAAGGAATGGCATATAAAGTCCCAGCCATAAAAGACAGAGTCATTTCTTAAAATGGCTTCTTTAAATCATTGCAGTGACTTGGGAACTTGTGCCATCTTTATAACAAGAAACACAGTGCCTTGTACAAAATGTATCCTTTCTTGTGCACTATGGGCACAAAAGTACAAAATATAAAAGAAAGAAATGTGAAAAACACATAGCCTGAACGTGTCAAAGATTAGTAGTATGCTATTAAGATGGATTGGATAAAATAGCAATATTAGAGCAATATTAACTAGTAAGAGGTATTTATAGAACCAAATAAAAGAAAAAGTTCGTCAAAATTGCCCTCTGATTTTTATAATATTTTGCAGGTTAAAATATTTCTGCAAGAAGCAACTCTGGATCTGGGCTACAATAAGAAAAGACATAAACAAAGATATTAGCAAACAGCATGGACAGTATTGCATTGCTTCTTAGTCATACATTTTAACTATCAAAATTACCATGTGGAATTGTGGTCTGGAACGGTCTGTTAGGACTTTTCAGATTCCATAGGGTCAAGCTGCCATCAGAGTGACTGCACATGAACTGTTTCCCTTCATGATGCCAAGCAACAGAATGAATAGCCTACAGAAATGAAAGAAGAACTTGAGACTGGGATGGAATACAATGTTTACACTAATGATATTTTAATGTATGACTCTGGATTATATTAATGTAATGGTATATTAATAGTTGGATGGTTCTTTGTCTAAAGTCCACACTTTTTAGTAACCAATAGATGTAATCTACTGCTAGTCAAGCCAAATAATTAATTATAAATGTTAACATTACATAAAACATAAGAAAGCCTGTACTGGATCAGACCATAATTGAAGGAATGGGGTATTAAGGCAAAAGGATAAGAATGAGGGACGTACAATGCAATCATAATATGTCTGATAGCTCTCCTTAGAAGTATTAATCTGGCAAATGTGCAGAGAGTTCTGTGTAACAAGTTTTACAGATAACATTCAACACATGCCATCTTCCACAGAGGACTTCTTAGGAAAAGTAGAAATAGTACTCTGTTTTTGAAAAATATCCCCCGCCCCCCCAATTAAGTTTCAGAGCAGGTACACAGAAATCTGGGATGTTTAATATAAAACCCAAACCACTAAGGAGACCAGGATTATTTCACTGATATAGATAATTACTAAAACAATGATGTAAGATATTTTTGGAATAATAGTGCTTCAGAGAAGAGGAATATTGCGCTCCTATGTACACAGTGCAAGTACCACACAATGAATGTTATAAATACAAAAAAAGAAACACTTCAAAAGTTAATAGACCATTCCTAGTATTTTGTGCTTAATTAGTGGGACTGACTGAAAATATCCATAATTACATCAAGCTAACTGAAAGGGTAATGGTGTAAGTCCTTCATTTTCACTGGTATGTGCTGGAAACTAACAAAAGTCATTTTCTGACAAAACAAAGTATTGATTCATTGTATACCACAGCGTCTCGCACTCCCCTCAGAAACACACACTCACAGAATATTCCCTTGAATCTATTTCATTTCCAGAAATATTAGCTGCTAAATAACAAAAATCACAGTATGTTTTTATGCAAATAAGAGAGACTTGTTTTTGAATGCAGTTTAATCAATTTCCATTTTTGCAACCCAGGAGATATTGAAAAGGCCTTGCATGTGCTTACAATTGCATATGGCTGTTTACCTGATTTGTTCAAACTAGTTTAAAATCATGTCTGGGTATTCATAAGTCAGCACAGGAGTTGTTCATACCAATTTTGCTTAAGCTGAGAAGAAATAAATGTAAGTGCTACTGGCCACTATTCAAAAAATCCCTGTTAGTCTTCCTCTTTTAATGAGTATATTGGTTGTTACAGTTGGTAACGGCTCATGGTCTGAAGGGAATATTAGAGGAAACCATTTAAAAGACTATGACCCTTTACCAAAACTTTACTCAGCTCTTGAGGCTGGACAGTACAAGCACAAAGGAGCCTTTGCATTGAGATGACCCAGATCTTTTAATAAGAATCTGACATGCTGTGTATATGAATGCTTGGCTAACACACTAGTAAGCTAGTCATGCCAATAAAGACTCAACAAACAGATTTGAACAAAGTGAACTCTAGATATTTATCTCTGAGTGACATAATGGGTGTCACTCAAACTTCTCCCTACCAGAGGGGAGTTGGCGCATAATTCCTCTTAAAGACCCAGAAGATACCAAACTATAACCGAGGCAACAAAAGACAACGCAGACAGATGGTTTGTACAGAGTCCAATGCCATTGCCCTCAGGTAGTAAGAACCTTAGATCTGTGGGGAGCATTGCTTCACTTGTCCTGTGCAAATTAATTCTGACATGAGCTCGTTCATGCTTGCTATCATGCCAAATTTGAATCTGCTTTTGATGCGTTATCACACATATAAACATTTCACACGGTTACAGTCACTAACTGTGTCTGAGCAGAAGCTAGTAACTAGCAGCTGAAAACTGTACCAAGCTGCTTGTTAAACTGCCGCTCAGCTACCAGGTGCCACCTGCCAGCATAAACCTCCTGTTGAGTGGAGCTGAGGCAGAATGCTCCTGTCACAGACAGTTGGCATCACAGCAACTCCAACTCACCTGTTAGACTTTGCCCCAAAAGGGGCAAGAAATCACTTAGAATCACTTTTAGAGGTCTCAGCTAGGAGTCATAACTAATACTGAAAGGTGGCACTGAACAAGACCCCAGTCTTCTCTCTCCTAGAGTATGTCTAGCATTCTTATCCACTTCTTTAGCATCCACACACAAAAAAAAGGAGCAGTTATTTGCTTAGAACAGGAGTTCATCATGGTGGGTGACTCATGTGAATGTTCACACAGTGTATGCACATAAAGCGTATCACTCCAGATTGGATATGTTTCTCCTTCTGCAATACCCACAGTGGTCGCATACATATTCCATCTTCTCTCATACTCAGCATGTACTAAAATTATGCATGCCCAACACCATTTCAGCTCCTTCCCAACCACAAACCTCCTCCACTGAGAACTCCTCAAGGGGACTCTACAACCGCTTTTAACCATATTTTGAACAAGCACCATACTCAACTGATCCTATTGCTTGAATCTTAAGAATTATTTGTGTTAGTAGTACTGCAGGACCATTACAGCAAGGGCCGTGTCAGATTTGATACTTCCATAATGGCATAGTGCTTGATAAAAGTAGAGAGATGTCATTTGTATTTCCGTGAACTCTGCAGCTTCATTTTGGAGACGTGTTCTAATGAAAGATAATGACTGTGCTTCAGGAAGCTCTGCATGTGCATTGACACAACATGTCAAACCTTTAAACGGTCTGTATCCAAAGATAGCAGGTTTTCTGGGTCTGCCAACTATCCATAATAACTTGAGAATCCTTTGAAGGATGTCTTGTTTATCTGCTCTTTATATAGCAATTGATGAAACTAAACTTGGAAGGAATTTATAAAAGGGCATGCAAGGAAAGCCGCCTATAGAGGGCATCATGTAGGAGCATTGATTTAAAAGGGCCTGAATATCCTATACACATTGCCACTGAGAAGATGACAATCCTCATCACACAAAGAAACAAATTTGCTGCTGACATCTTGAAGAGCAGACACAAGGTTCTTTAGCAGCAGGTTCAAGCTCCACTCTGGGACCAGGTGTTTCATAAGCAAGAACATTTTGGCCTCTTGAGAAGCTCCGATGCAGTAGAGAAGAAAACACAGAAACTCCTTCTATCAGGAGCTAATTTGCTGAGGCAACCTCTAACTAACTGGTCATCAGTGGGGCTAAAAGAGAGCTAGGACTATTTTTAACTCCAGTGAGTAAACCATGAGTATCAGGGAGAAGTTTTAAAGGGAAGATACAGGCTTACAAGAACACCAAGCAGAGACTTCCAGATAATACAGCTTGTACAGCCTTGGTATCCTTGCAACTTTGTATCCTCAGTTAACAGCTCTCTCATTTGAAATGAGCAGACATATTTTATGAAAGGAAACTATGAAAGGTTCCTAGCCTTTAAAACACAAAGATGTAGTAAGGAATGCAGCTGTAAATGCTGCAATTGCAGCTCTGTGAACAGGGGGAATAGTCTTCAGCTCCGCCACTTACAAGCTATTGAATTGTCTGAAAGAGCTGTTTATTCCAGGAGCAACATGTCCAAGACTTTAGTGTGGACAGCAAGGAAAATGAAAGGGCATACTTTTGCAAGGACTGGACATATCCTGCTAATATTGTAGGAAACAACTCACCTCCCTGTCATAAGATTACCCATATCCTGAGGAGATGTCTGCAACATATGTCCCATATCCATGTCTGCAAGTCTCATGTGATGCGAAGCATCACACTGGTATGACGATGCCATGCAGCCTAGAGAGCATAGGCTAGATTTTACAGTGGTGATGTCCTAGGGGACAGAGAACTGTTATCTCTTGATAATCCTTTTGTTAGCCAACTGTTCAAGTGTGTAGATAAGGAGAACCTATTCCATCTGAGCTGAGTGTTCACTACTTCTAAGACTTCAATTAAAATACCATCACTCAACATAGTGAAAAATTTGAATGGAAGAGACCTTTTAATAATCGTTCTCCCTGATAACGAAATGAAAACATTTATCGTGGCTGTATGAAAAGAAATATCTTTAAATTTAGTCATGAGATATGAAACTATTCCTCTCTATAACAATGTCAGCAGACATAGTCCCCATCTTGAACTTAAAAAGGAAGAATATTTAGATTTGTAGATAGATGATAAGTTATCAGCTTCCTTTCCTCTTCTATATCAAAAAATATCTGCTGTTAACATCTTGCTCCTGTGCTGCACAGTGACAGGTTCTACAGATCTGTATAACAACAGAGAGCCTCCTTTTCAACAGCTGTTCTGGGGAGACTCAAATCCATCGCTGTCAGTGGTAACACAGGAGAAATAGAGTTGAGGCTTGATCCTGTGAAAGGATGAGTATTCGGGTGTAGTCTTGAGGGTGCTAACATTTATTTTGAGTGACATTACCAAGCTGGACAGCTATCTGAAGAAGACTACAGAGAACAAAGAACTTGCCTCCGTGATGAAAACTCACAGTCCATCGAACGCAAGAAAAGCTGTTTCTCACAGTACACACCAAGGGCTAATGTAGAATCCTAGTGCCAGGGAAATATCTGATACTAAACAGAGTATCTGCTCCACTGATAAACCAGAAAAGATCATGCCATCCAATGATCCTTAAAGATGCCAGAAGAAGAAGTGGTGAGTTATTTGATGGTGAAAGAACTGGAAATCTCATCTAAGGTGACTACCTTAATTTCAAAACTGGTGCTACAGAAAGCATAATGATAGTAAGAAAAATGAGGCTGGATTAACTTCATTCAGACCCCATTCAAAGATGCACTCCAGTATTCAATGAAGATACAGAACATTTACAGTCATTTATGTGACATCTCAAATATACCCTGCAATAGCAACTGGCTGGCTAAGTGCCAGACAATGATACTGAAGGATTGCTCAGATGTCATGAGGCACAGAGGCTTTACATCAGTCCAGGTAGAATGGTGAAGGGCAGCAGAAGCAACGTTTTCTGACATGCTGATCTTAGGTGACCAATCTCTAAAAAGAGGCTTAGGTTTGAAAACTTGGGTTGGTGCCAAATACCAAGTGGAACATGCTGAACTAATAATTTGTGACTCACAGATGCTATATAACTCAGGATTTTAAAAAGAACCCTTTTTAGGGGCTCCCTAGGGGAAATCTAGCAGATCTGGAACATTATCAATGTGGAGCCTGAAAGTCTGGAATAAAGTACAATGGCTAGTCACATAACCCTTTTAAAGACAAAATAATCTTGCAACTATTTCAGTAGATGATAGCAAGCCATCACAAGTTGCACGAAGTGGAGTAATGACACAGTAAGTAATCACAGAGGAGGAAAGCACATGACTGATAAAAAGGCCAAAAATGTTCCTGAGGACAGTACTGACAAATGTGGAACAACTAAATTGTATGAGAAATTGTCAACACCCAACCACTCTGTAACAAGCAGCAAAAAAAAAAACCCAAACACCCAGTATCATGAAGATCCCACTGGTTTATGTAGTCTTGTTCTGAGCACAAGAGAGGACAGTGAATGAACAGACACCCCCCCCCAAGAGACTTGTAAAAGGAAAAAGTTGTCTAGCCTTAAATAATAGAACAGGTGCAATTTCTCAAGTGTATGCACAGGTGGACTGTCACTTAGAGACAATTTAGTGGGCATGTATTGAAGCTTAAGTGTTGGCCTATTTAAACTCTGAATTACCCTGTCCTTTAGAACATTGGCTATGTGGATGCTCAGAATCTTAACCTTGAAGCTCAGTGTAGTGTCGATGTGTCTGTGAAAACAGGCCTGAAAGAGTACAGGATTCAAATACATTCAGATTACTCTTTAGAGTGAAAATAAATGCGTATACTCCTTACATAGAATAAGGTGGCAAGATGGAGAAGGAAAGAGAACTACGGAAAACCAATTACTGCCTGGATCACTTTAAAGAAAATGTCCTTTTCTAGTTACATTCACATTCATTCACTTTACAGAAGGGCTGGCAGAACAAAGGATGTTTTTCCTAGGCCTAATACTAAAATAATAATAAATGAGAATATATCTATTTTTTTAAACAGCCTGTTTACTGATGCAAAAACTGCGTCTGTGTGCGATACAATCTGCTTACAAAAGGCAAGAGACAATTGTCTGATAAAACTACGAGAATACAATTTTGAAAAACTTTTAATCAGATCTTGAGTACAAGGTAGTATCAATAGCCGTACAAAATAATTTATCTTTCATTCTAATTAATATTCTAGTAATACTCAGTAAAGGTCTAATTCCTAATGCAGCTATATCTCAGTTTAGCTCCTTACTAGGCTCTGTTCAACTGAAGATCCCTACACAGAAGCTAATGAACTTGTCAGAATCAAGGGGAAGAGACTCCTTGTCATAGTCTGCTCAGAAGAGCATAATGCATTAGAACTACAGATTTCAGGTTTTGATTTCTAGACAATAACTTCTTCAAAAGCATAGCACAAACAGTGTATCCAGAACAAGCAATGCCTTAAGATAAATATCCGTTTGATAAGATATACGACAAACCGCTGGATAACAGCTTTTCTGAATGAACAGAAACTGCTTACCTCATCATAATAAGCTCTCAGATCAGCTCTTTTAGATCGTAAGTCCCAGAGTACTACAGTCCCATTTTCATAGCCTATCAATAGCTGGAGGAGGGAAACAAACACAATTATACTTTTAGATTCAAAAGGAATATACATATATTAAAAAAAACTTAATGGCTTTAAGAGACTTTTAAAAAAATAAGTAAGCACTATAAAATGTCAAACTGATGTGTAGGATTGCAGATTGCACAACACATAATACCCAGCTTTCAGATTATCTTTCGGTATAAATTACTTCTCATTAGTGGCAATGTAAGTTTTAATATGGAAGAAAAATTGTGCTTTATACCGCTTTTTTTCTTTGCTGTGTTTTTTTTTGGTTTTTGGTTGGGGTTTTTTTGTTTTGTTTTGTTTTGTTTTTTTTTTTTCTGTAATATTATGTGCCTGAACAACCTTCACAATTGTGTATCTGCTGAGAAAATAAGATCATAGTATGTTCCTCTCAGCTCTTACCTTCCTTGCCCTTGGTTGGATGCACAACTGTTGGGCACCTAAGAGATAACTTCAAACCAAAGAGTCACCAGATTAAACCCTCATTTAGCTACATATATTCCTTTAATTTCTGCTTTCTATTGCTTTAAAACATTCTGAAGAACTCTCCTTGCAGAGTAAATAGCTTGCTTTCCTAGAAATTGAAAATAAATTCACTGGTATGCTAATTTTTACTTCTTCTAGAAGTAGCATGTCATATCATCATGCATACCCAAGAAATATCTCAAAGAAGATTTGTCAAAAGATGAAAAAGAAGACAAATGATACTCAGGAGAAAAATAAGAATGAACACAATCCTTTTTCCTTGTCTCTATTGAAAAGAACTGTATGATTGATCTGGCACTGTATTGAGTACTCTTCATCTGGACACAAATAATTTCAGATCTTACAGAAGATGTGAAGTCTGGCCTACTTAGGTGTCCAGGAAATTGGTTTCCTAGACCCCATCTTCCTAAGGATCTGTCCTGGACACGATGACTGGGAATGTCCAAACTGACAGACTCATGGAATATTTTATACAGCTGGCAATGATAACTGCAAATTGTTCTTTGTCCATAAACACATGGATCACAGAATGCAGGCAAGGATTTACAGTTTCTCTATTAAGAACTTGAGCAAAGAATGATGAGACCATCTCTTAGTCTGTGAGACCTTACCAGCATCTTTGCCATCATTCACTTTAGCTTGCATAAATCATAAAAACGAAACCTGGCTGGACTACTAAACAAAACATCGCTTTGTTTCCAATTTATATACAATTGCTACATCAATACTGCTATAAAAGAGTCTGGGAATACTCTCATTCCTACTAGATATGATTCTTTACATTGCCAGGTGAATATTCATTATGTGGAGATATATTACCTAATCTAGGAATGATTTATAGTTTGTATATTTAATACCTGAATATGAACAATACCTCATTACTTAAGAATTCTGCTCCTGAAAAAAAAAATTCAAACTGTCCTGGAGAAATTCCAGAATATTTATCATTTTTGCTCGGGATGGGTCCATATGGGATTCTGCAGCAGAATAAACGTGAAGAGACATCCTGTTCAGAAAGCATACAGCTAACTGGATAGCACTTGTGTCAGGATGCCATATGGTATTCTGGGATAAGACTGCTGTTGAGAGAGTGAACAAAGAAGTGTCTTACTGTGACTGCTTTCATGTTAGTGCAGTGATCCTAAATGGAAGACAAATGTATATTCAGGAGTTAGTGATCCACAGAGTGGTTAACCTGAGCAGGTGAGGGCCTGTGTTGTGCTATATTGTGCTGCAGGTAGCACTTGGCTTTCAGTCCTGTATTGTGCTGCACATAGTCCTTAGTCACAAGATAAACTTTGCTGTCTAATTGTAAAGAAGCAGCCCTTAGGCAGCTGCCACTTGTTAAGAGTAATTACAACACCTTTGTGACCTTGTCTTTATCTTAAGGTAGGGCAGTATGTTCTCACGTAAATATCCCTTTGCTTGACGGTAGAAATGAATAGATTTTTTTAAAAAATAAAATCTTTTGAGATCTCTAGAGACCAAAATGCTTGTAAACCTCTTCACAGAGGGGACCAGCACAGTTTGCTGTGCTCTTATTAGAGGTCTATCCAATGCCGCACAACTTGGGATTCCCACCATCTGACGGAATGTAAGATTATCTTCTTTTTCCTTTTGTATTAACTCCAATACATGGTATTTTAATATGTCATGGAATCTGAGTGCCTTCCTTACTGTTACAAGAACAAGCACTTTCATCAGTGCATTACAGCTGGGTACCAAACTAGTTGAGTTCAGTTTGTATCTACCAGTAATCTTTCAACCTCAGCTTTTGTACAAATACATTCAGGAAACTGAAGCAATAGAAAAGCATTTAGATGTGACCCTGTTTCATAAGCCTTTCTGCCTGGTGAAGCAGGGTTGTTTCTGATTTTTATCACTCTCTTTTGCAAAGATACTGTGCTCCAGGTAATTACTAAAAGGTTAAATATTTCCCATAAGAGACAGCATTTCCCCTGATTTGTTGCTGAAATGCTTAATGCTCAATGGCACCACAGAACTGTAAGATACAAAGTGCTGTGATTTCAGGGAAGAAGTTGAAAGAGAAACAGATTTGCTGCATAGCCAGGAATCAGGCTCTGTGCTCAGATGGTAGCCATGCTGCTAGACTACCAGTACTGTGGTATGACACTAAAGTCAGAATTCCAGCTGGGTGAATGTGATCGTCTCATTGCCAGCGTATTTATGATGCTCTGAACTCTGACTTGTCTGAACCATAGGAAACTCAAATACTCTAACTCCCGTTGGCCATGGTAAGCCAAAAGAGATCTACAGGACAAGCTCTATGTCTGTAATATTCAATGAGGTAAAAAAAACCCCCACCCATAAATACAGTTGAAGGACAAAACATAGGCAAAGAAGAAAAACGTGTGTAAAGGGAGTCAAGGAAGTAAAAAGCCAAAGACTCCTCTTCAACTTGTGTTTTCTGGAACCCTGTTTAATTACCCATGTTTAAGAATCATGAAGGAGGCTGGACAGAATTTGAAGTGGGAACAACTCCTGGCAAGATCTTCCTTGTCTAGTGGAGCTACTCCCCATTTTGACTTAACAAATCCATCTTCATGAAATGCTTTCGATGATGGTGTTATAGGGAGATTTCTCTTTCACAATCAAATAATTGCATCCTGCTACATGTCAGCCAGCTCCTTGCTTGTCCTGGTAGCAAAAAACAGCTGGGAGAAGAAAACCCCAAGCATGCCAAATGCACACTGTATTTAGGTGGTTTGAGACCTCAGAACACAGACTCCGAGACAGGAAGTTTAGTGCACCAGCTAATAGTGAATAACATTAAACTTTTTCCTATTAAGCTTTCTCCAGTTGCTGGGAAACAGCAGATCATTGCAGTTAATGTCTTCTCCTGTGTCAGCAAGAAAAATCATGTTTGCTACAGATCTTCCACTTACAAATGTCTGTGCACTTCAGTCTGTTCCTAACGTACACTTATTCATTGATTTGGCAGACACAGTTCTATTTCATGGACTTAATCACTAGGTCCCCAAATTGTTCTTAAGTGACACATTAAATGCCCAAATTCTCCTTGTTGTCTGTCTTCCAGCTACAGCTTGCTAGATTCATAAAAGGGACTGTCTCCAAAGTCTGCCTTGATAGTTTGCCTGGAGGGCACACTTGAAAAAAGTTGAATGGCAGAAGTCTTCTAGAATTACACTGACTCTTTTGGCGCAGAAAAACTGGTCATCAGTCACTGATAAAAACCAGAACTTTTAGGAATTTAAAGAACTTTTAAAAGATGAATATACAGCGAGCACACAAATTTCCCTGGCTTTCAGAAAGAGATCTTACGATTGGGCTATATTTGGAAAGGTTTATCTGTGTTTTAGGACTCTCAATCCCTCAGTGCTGTTTATTTATTTCACTGAAACATGCTCAGATCTGTAAAGAACTTTGTGATAATCCATGGAATGATATACCACTGGACCCTTGCAGAGTACAATACTCTTGTACTTGTAGAGTACAAGAATATCTGTATTTTAAGCGATTATCATGACTGGTTTGTACCCACTATTTAATTCCTGAAGCATAGGTAAAGAATACTTTCACCTGCTGCCCCCCCCCCGCCCCGTGAAGTGATGTGAGGAGTCTGATTTCTCTCACCAACACCTCTTGGTGGTCTTTGGTTAGCCTGGAGCTGAGGAGTTAAGCAGAGTATGTAGAACTATCTTGAAACATCTCCATTACCTCAGAACAACTGTGCTAAATGAAGCAAAAGGTCTACCCCATCACAGTATCTCGTACGTAAATGGCCAAGAGCAAATACCAGAGAACGATTGGTGAGGAGGGCAAGTATTTATCATACTTTCACATATTCTCTTAGCCTAAGTAATTTTTTCATTCAAAGATAGCCAGCTCCTCAACTAGACATGACTCCATTTAACCTCATCTTTAATAACCTTTCAGGAAAAGTCAGCAAACCTCTTCAGTAACCCTCAGTTTGATTTCTCTTGTATTAAATTTTCTAGACTCCCTTGTGACCAATATACATTTTCAGCATCCAAAGCACCATTTGGAAAAAGTTTTATAGCTTCTACTCATTGCACATTTGAAGAAGAACTTAATTGGCTTGTTTGGAATCTGACTTTTGTCAGCTTCATTTTATATCCTTTTAGTTTTTGTATTGAAAAAGACTGAACTGTCTCTACCCTCCTCATAACAACTGCAGTTTTCAAGCTTGGAATCACAATCCGCTCTCTTCCACAATGAAATGTCCTGGCTCACTTAGTTGTGTCTCATCTAGAAAACCTTGCTCCTTCTCTGAATTTCCTTTAGCACAATTATGTTCTTTTTAAGATAGAAGGTCAGTATTCAGCAGGCAAGTCACCCATGCATTTATGTAATAGTCAGGTTTTGTTCTCTAGTCTTCAGATAATACCTAATTTTGATTTTCTTTATTGGTCACTGGGGAGTATTGAACTGACATTTTCATGGAACAATCATCACTTGAAGCTCTTGATACCAAACAATAATGATCAGCTCAGACCCACACATATCACTTCCCATCATTTAGACTGATTAATTACAAAAGACAGTATCTAACCTGCCATTTTACTGCTGAATTTCTCAGCCTCCTAAGGTCTAGCAAACCTGTTCACATCAGTGCTTACTCCCTGTTCTAGATTGTTTATGACTATGCTGAACAGCAAAAGTCCCAGAAGTTTTTTTTGTTTTTTTTTTCTTTTTCCCCATTCTGAAGAAAGATTGTTTAATCCTTCATTCTTTCAACAAAATTTTGAGACTTAGTTGAAAAATGTAGTTCCATTTTTTTCTCTACTGTTAAAGTTTTTGATCTAAAGCTGTATCTTTTGATTTAGTGCTTGGATCTTCTCTTACATCTGTGTACACCTTTTACTGATGTCTTCCTGTAAACATCAAACACTATCAATTCCACATTCTGCAAATCTGCAATTATTTTATTAGCACCGATTTGTTCTTTACACTACTCTCAGTCTATCAATGATATAAACAGCTGCACTGGGATGGATTCAGTATGGCTTACATTTTCTACTCTTTCACCCTATAAATTTCTAATTGTTTTTCATAGGGATCCCTCTGATTTTGCTATTGCTCTTGTTATTAGGTTTGTGCTTCATCAGTACACAGATGTCTCCAATGTGCCCTCTGAACAACAACCAATTGTATTTACAAACAAGTTCTCCTCTAACTCCCTTTCCTGGGACCTTTTCATCTTCTCTTTTTCTGCTGAAGTCAAAATATTTTAGGTTTCTGTATGGACACAGTGCATCACATCCCTGTAAGAGATGTTCACTCACAAGACCATTTTTTCTTTTAATATCCAATTCTTTTTCCCTACACAGTGTGCTTTAGGTAGGTCAGCAGCAGCTTCTGTTGTGGCCAGCCGACAATACACCTTATCAATAAACTTTTATTTTTATTAGGTATTTTGCCATAGATAGCATGTGTGTGTGTGTGTATAAATATATATATATATATATATATATAAAATGCAGATGAAATTCAGATGTAGTCATCAGTGGTTTTTTAGGTTGCCATATTAATTTCAGCATAATCTCCCCCATATCAGTATCAGAAGTTCAAACTGCTGCTAGTTTCCAATAACCATCAGCTTTTATGTGAGGCACACTATCAAATAGATACAGCATTTGCAAGATGCAGTCCTTTCTAAGAACACACTAAAATGTAACTGGCAAAAGTATTCAGAAATTATGAGATTAGTTGAATGCCCCTTCCACACAGGCAAAATGTTCAAAAAAATCAGTATCAACACATAAATTAGAAAGTTCTAATAAAACTGGTATTCTGGCAACCAAATTGCATACAAATAAAGTCAACACTGAGTTGCCCTCCTGACAGTATTAATCACGACCTGAATGCTCTAACTATATGTTTTGCTTTCACTTGTTGACAGCTCTTTGCTATTCTCAACTCTGCTCACAAAAAGCAGCAAGTTCCAAACATGGGTTACTATCATCATTATTCTTACATAAGAAAATACTTATTATCTTATAAAAACTTACTATAATATCTCCATAATAGCATGTTTATCCAAGTACTGAAGTCATGATACAGTTTTTAGCCAATTCTTCAGTAAAGTTTATTTAATCAGGAACAATTTTGATTGACTATAGGTTTCAAAGTACAGTATGTTGTCTGTATTACAGATTCTTACTAAAATCGTAAAATGAGAAATGTTTTTCTTAAAAGCTGTAAAACAGTAAAAGTGACCTTGCAAATACAGAAAGCAAGCAGAAGATAAAATGAGTGAGCAAACAAAAAGAAAGAGCTATCAAGGCAAATAAAGGCTACGAAATGTTGCAGTGATTTATACCATTAGATGTACTCACTTTTCCCTCATCTCTTGGGCTGTCACTTAAATGTACAACTGGCCCAGGGTGAGTCTTTGTGGATCTGCAAGACAAAAAACAGTCCAAATCTGTGAATGTTTTTTTGTATGAAGAGCTAGGTGCTTACCTTAATTTCTTGATGTGCTAACATGTATCTCCAATAGTTTAAAAAGAACTCTAAAACGTCCAGCTGGGGAAGATGACTATCTGAAAGTTATCCATATCTTTTCACATTCTCCTCTATTTCCTTTTTGCCATTATAGGCAAAGATTCTCCTTTGCTGATGAATCCTTCTTCTTCTTTTTTTTTTTTTAATCTCACTATTCCTCCCATTATAGTTTTTTTCCCCTCTCTCATTTCTAACTTTTTTTTTTTTATACTTTTCTATTCTCCACTCCCTCTCTATCTGCCCTCCCTCCTCACTTACTCAATTTCGAGGCTAATCTGCCAAGAATTTGAAAAGTCTCCACTGGATTAATTTCAAATAGTGGTAACAGGACTCATCAAGTTCCAGTCTCATTAATGACAGGGCTTCAGTAATCTTACCTACACTGCTCTACCAGGTAGCTTCTTAGTGTTACGCAGTGGGGGTTTCAGAAATGGAGCATCTTGCCTTTGTCTATTTCGTAAAGCCTTATGACACATCTTCAGACAAACTAATAGAGTTACACCCACAATGCATGTTCAGTGAAGCTACTCAGCCAAAAGACCCATCCCATGAGTCTTCACAAGCCTCTATAAAGATCACTTATTGTCCTTGCTGTCTTCTTCTTCCTCTCTTTTTTGTAACATTTACCAACAACACAGTATGCAATTTAATACAGGGACTGCTGCTTAAGTCATTGATGTCCAGCAGCTGACAGCAAATGCAAATCATAGGAAACTGAATGGACAGATGAAGAATTTCCAACTGTCATCTTTTCTGACCAGACCTCTAGGCCCTGGCAGTCATACAGAGCAAGAAACAAGCACCAGCCCACAGAGCTTCAGGCTAACTGAATGCCTGAACAGAACAGGACCTTCCTTCCATCCAGGTTCTGGGTTCAGAGCACATGTCCCTTGGGACAGCAGCTTAGGATCCAGACTTGCATGGCTGGTGTTGGTTAACAAAAGGTCACCAAGAAAAAAATACGGCAGATATTTACAGGGCCCATAAAATTAAGAATTCATCTGGAAGCCATACCTAAAACGACCTAGGCTCCAATTTTTAAAACAATCTGCAAGAGAATTAAAGAAACAAACCAAAATAAGGTCCTCCAGCCAAACTGATCAAAGGATTTTCCTAAATTAATGGTGCTCCTTTTCTTTCGGCTTAAATACTTCACTATAGCAAAAGTAGCCTCTGTTCTACCAGGTCAGACTCCAAAGCAAGATTGAGAGTCGTATGCAAAAATTCTCAGGCAACTCAAACATTAAAATACTATGGGGTAATCCATATCCTCATAGACTCCTCCTTTGCAAAACTGTATGCTCCAACACTCTTGAAAGTATGCACACTTTCCTCTGCCCTCTATTTTTTTCCCATAGAATCTTTTAAATATTTCAGCTATTTGGTCATGCACCAAAGCTGGGCCAAAGCAGAGTGGCAAAGACCTTGTCTGTTATTTATCTCTGAGCTAAAGACAATGAAAAATTCCTGCAGACATCCTGAGATGTTTCAAACTAAGTTTATAGCAGGCCAAGGAGAAAGAAAACTTCAAGTCACCTAATGGCCAGACAACCTTCCAAGACTATATCCCACCCCTTCACGTATATTTTAACATTACGGACGCAAAGCTAGTGGCAATGGGGCAAGGCCCCTCCTTGGTGACCCTTCTCCATGAGATGATCTCATACCACCATCTTCAGCTTTGGCAGATCATGTTTCCACAGATGCCTACAGCATGTTACTTTTCTACATGAGGTCTCAGTGAGCAAGGCTCCTGCAAGAGCATTTTGCAACATACCCTAGCACAGAACTGAGATCAGCAGGAAAGCAGCGGACAGCCGGGTTATACAGAATATTCTGTGCAGACTATCTTTAATGGTGCTGGCAGCAAGTACCCATTTGTCTTGAGACATGGCACACAACAATTTTTGCAGAGATGCAGTTAGCAGATCCGGCTGTCATCCCTATCCAAGCACTCCCCAGAGGGGACCCCTCTGGATGAGCTTTGTTTCTGACTAACCTATACTGGAATAAAAAAATAATTTTCACAGCACCAGACCTTGGAGCAGGCAGGGTAGGTAGGTAGTGATGGAGAACTGAGAGGTGAGGTGAGGATCTTTGCAAGCAGTGCTTAGACCGACACATGTCTTTTACATCTATCCCCAGGGAGTGACTATGACATCTTGGGACATTCTAGGCTGCTTGAACTTTGTTTCTGACATAAGTTCAGCAAGGCAAAGGAGAAAGTCTAAGAAGACAAACCGTGAAAAGGCAGCATAAGAACCACTGACAGAAGAGGGAGCAGAGCCAAGCAAACATCAGGCATGACTAAGCTGGCAGCAGAAAAAATGTGGAAGGAGCACACACAGGCTGACAAGGCATACTGGTTTGGGCAGTTAACCCAGTCCATTGAACCAACCACTATCTAAACTGGGATTTTTGGCCATACCAGTATTAGTACTTAACCATGAATATTGGCAAAATTGGGGGAAATGAAGGGAGAAAGGGAAAGAGCATACTGTCTTTCTAAGCTAAAGTTTGATCCCATCTAAGCTACTCTTTGTACCTACCAATCTTAAAAGTCAAGAACAATTTAGATAAATTTGTGCAACCACCATTTTCTTTTTCAGATAGATGTCATTGTTTACCAAAGAATGTATCCTTTCGTCTTTGGGTAGAAGCAAACACTTACATGAGCTGTAGTCACTCTACATTACACCTAACTTCAGGCTAATTATACTTTCATTATCACACAAACTAGTTGTAAACAATATAAAACTTTTACTACCAGTCTTATTTTTATCATATTCTCGCAGGGGCATAGTCTCAGATTTCCATGCTAAGTTCTCAGATAAAAGGGGTAACCTTCACTAATACAATACATTTTCCTACTTCCTCCATTCCTCTCTTGAACCTATTGTAAATGATAGTTGGAAGATCCTGGGATTTATTAAACCGTAATAAAATTTCTTTTTGCTTTTCAGGATATTAGGCTTTTTTTTTCTTTATTTTAGAAGCATTATTTTTTTTATTATTAGATTCCTAGCTGGTTTTTTAGTTTTGTTGAGTAAGAGCTTCATATACATTACCAGCAAATGGTCTGTACACTAAATCAGTAAGATTTTTTTTTCTCTTTCCTCTATATTTGATATAAGTATTCTCTTCATATTATCTTACTCTTCAGCAGTATTTTAATAGTTTAATTGTTTCATATTATAACTGACTTGGTCTGGCTTCTTCCATTTCTTCCAATGTTATTATTTTAATCTGTCAGATATGTCACTCTATCAAAAGATGCAATGCAGATGCTTTCACACATACACCACCAGTCTTTGGTTCCATTCTTGTTAGCTCTTTTATGTCAAATATTGGATGTAGGTGTCAAGGCGTTGGCAGTGGGGAGTTGCAGGAGGAGTCTCTGTGAGGAGAGGTCAGGGCTGCCCTATCCTGGCCACATTCAGCCCCAATGGACTCACTGCGGGGCACATCTGAGTCCCACAGCCAAGATGCTGGTGGCTTAAGGAAAACAAATTTAAGAATGAGCAAAAAAAGTGTGAGAAACAGGCCTGCAGGCAGCGAGGTCAAAAAAGGAGGAGGGGAGGAAGTGCTCCAAGTGCTGGAACAGAGATGCTCCTGCTGCCTGTGGAGAGGACCACACCAGAGCAGGTATTTCTCCTGCAGCCTTTGAAAGACCCCATACTGGAACAGGTGGGTATTTCCTGAAGTAACTGCAGCCTGTGGGAGGGCCTGTGCTGGAGCAGGAGGAAGGAGCAGCAGAGAGGAGTGGTAATGGACTGACCGTGACCCCCATTCCCCATCCCCCTGCACTACTCAAGGAGGGAGGAGAGGGTGGGGGTCGAGGAGTTGAGAATGAAAGAATGAAATTGAGCCTAGGAATTAGTTTTTTTCTTTGTTTCTCACAATTCTCTTCTATTTTAACTGTCAGTAAATTAATTTTTCATCAAGTCTGTTTTGCCAATTGACAGTAACTGGTGTCTTTATCTTGACCCAAGAACTTTTCCATCTTATTTTCTTTCCCTGTCCTCTTGAGGAGGGGGAGTGAGAGAGCAGGTGTGTGGGGGTCTCACAATCACCCAGGGCCCACCTACCACAAATACCTTGATTGCTCAACAGCTCCCAGCTTTGATTATATATAGGCTAGAGGAAACAGAGGGTCTATTAAGTTTGTCAGTCATAACACTAACTCTGTCAGGAAATAAGAAAGGATCTTTTTCAATTAGTTGTATATCCTAAAACTCATTTCAGACGTGCCATCACAGATAAGATCACACACAGAGTTTCTGGGGTGATGACAACAGATATTGCTGAAGCTTTTTGGAATTGTAGAGCTTTCTCCTTGGCAGTCCCCCTGCACTGCCTTTCTGGAGCTCCAAGAAACATTGGTTTTTTATACATATAAGGTAAAGTATTTGCATCAAAACTGATTCCTCTTTGGACTAAACATGAAAGGAATATTCACAAGGTGCAGCACAAAGGTTTTGATTTGGTTTGGGATGGGACATGCCATCTCGGGGGAGGTGTATGAGAGATGATATACTGATACAAAAATAGCACCAGTTCAAATGGAGCAGGGAAGAAAACTGTAAAAGGGTTGTAACTTTCTTGATTCTGCATGGTCTTTCACTTGTTGCCCTGAACCTGCCCTACAGGTGGATACAGAAAAAGAGACATGAAAGATCTTGTCTGGCAGTACATCTTGCTTGCTTCTCCTGAAGTGATTTTATCTCTTTCCTAGTGCAGGACTGTGGCTAGGAACCCAAAGCTAATCCTTTGTGCCACACTAAGATCAGAAATAGACTGCCAAAGTCAGATCAGATCAGTGCCTTATTCTTGCATCTTCTTGTCTCCTCAAGGAAAGTATGGATACATAGAAATAACAGCAATATTTCTGGAGC